TAGGCTACATGGATATGCAAGAGAGAGTGGGAGTATTCCCACAAATAAATAAGGGTTTGAAAGAGGATATTTGTAGATGGGTATTTACCTTTCCTGCAAACACATCTATGACTATGGCAGAGCATTTGTTTTTGTGAAGTGTTGTCAAGTTGGTTTGGATTTATAGCAATTCTGTATAGGATTTTTGGGGAGTGACTAGTTAGTATGAACCACTAACTTTGCAGTTCAAACCAAGCTTGTGGTCCAGTGCTTACCCTGTAAGAGTGAATCATGTTGTTGTTAAGTGCCGTCAAGTTGGTTCCAACCCATAGTGACCCTGTATAGGGTTTCCGAGGAGCAGCTGGTGAACTTGAACTGCCAACCCTGCGGTTCAAACTAACTTTGCAGTCCAGCATATTAACCCGCAATACCATACCATGACATACAGGGAGCAAAATGATGAAAACTTCTTCAATATAATCAATCATCTTAAAGCAATAAGTTGCTGGACCTGGGGGCTGAAGACCATAGTCTCAAGGAACACCATGGTCAGCTAGCAAAACATAGTTCCCAAGGACAATGTTCTATATCCTACTTTGTTGGGTAGTGACTGAGCGCATGAGTGTCCATCTAAGGTGCTGCTATTGGTCTCTCCCTGTCAGATCAAAAGAAGAGTGATAAAATCAAAGAGACATGGAAACAATTTGTTCAATGGACTAATGGACCATGTGAAAAGCAGTCTCTATAACCTTGAGACCAGAGGAACTAGATGGTGCCCGGCTACCATTACCAACTGTTCTGAAAGGGATCGCATTAGAAGGTCCTGGATAGAATGGGAGAAATGTGGAACAAAACTCAAAAATTTAAAAAACATGACTAGAAAAAAAAATCTATTTAGAAAAATAAAAAAAAAAGGACTGTGCTTACTGGTCAGAACCTGAGACTGTGGCCCTGGACCACCCTTCAGGTCTGGAACAAACTCAGGGTTGTGGCCCAATTCTCAGCAGAGCAGTAGATGGGTATGTTGTTGTTGTTGTTAAGTGCCGTCGAGTCGGTTCCGACCCATAGCGACCCTGTACAGGGTTTCCAAGGGTGTAAATCCTTACGGGAGTAGAAAGCCTCATCTTTCTCCCGCGGAGCGGCTGGTAGTTTCGAACCGCTTACCTTAAGGTTCGCAGCCCGATTCGTAACCACTGGGTATAGAGGGCGACAACACTACTAGTAAGGCAAGCTCATCATGGAATGGGCCATCATTCCAGATCAATAGGGCAACATTTACCTAAGGACAAAGTGGAGAAGGGATGGGAAAGAGGGTGGGGTGGAAACAGGAACCCCAGGGAGGAAGCGGGATAACTGTTATTACATGGAGGGGATCGCAATCATAGGGATGAAACACAGTGTGTGATTTGTTGACCAAAAGGGATAATTTTCCCTGTAAACCTTCACTCAATTCACAATAAAAGGTTAAAAAAAACAACCAAACAAGTGAAGGTGGTGACGTGGCTAGATTCTGGACACATCTTGTACACAGAGCCAATGGTATCGCTGAATCGGGAAACGGGATCTGCAGCACGGGAGGAACTGGGGGAATGCGCAGGTGCACGACGGAGAACAAGTTTACAGTGTGCAGTATATGCGGTGAGGGCATGCGGCGTCAGGGCGTGACAAGTCAGAGGTCAGAGGTCAGAAGTGAGACCTGAGGTGTGAGAGGGTGAGGAGACTGAGGGATGGGGGCTTTGGGAGGTGGTAAGGGGGTTTCAAGGGTGAGGGGTCAGGATGTGAGTGGTCTGTGGTGAACAGTTTGGGTCTGCGGTGTGGGGACCAGGGAGGGGTGCCTCATGACTGGTATGTGTGTCCCTACCTCGCTGCACTCACCTCCTGCTCCGCTGGCACTAAGTCCTCCCCACACGAGGCGGCTCCCGGAAATGATGTATTGACGTCCTACCCCTTTCCGTTATTTGGCCCACCCCTGGAACTGGACTCATGCCCTTATTGGCTAGTCTCTGGATAGAAGAGGTGGGCTTTGCGCAGGCGCAGTAGCCTCGCCGGGGTCTCCAGGCCTCTCGTGCTGGCCTCGTGGTCTCCTGTGGGTGGTAGGCACGACTGGCTACTGAAGGAGGGCCCTCGGGCTCCCACTGTTGTGCAGGGCCTTGTCCGTCTTGCATGCTAAGACTAGTTGACACAGATCTGGCGCTGGTAAACATTGTTGAATGAGTATGAAGGTGTGAAGGGCGAAAGCCCAAGTTTTTTGCCTTCTCACAGCCACCATACATATTCCAACTAGGTGTGTTCTTAGAGAGGAGGAAGCTGAGGCTCAAGGACTGAGGACCCAGCCCTCCTGGTCTCCAAGTAAGCAGTGCCAAACCACCCACAGTGCTCAGAGTGGCTGTGATGGACACGACATCCGCGGGAAAAGCAGGCAGGAGCCTAATCATGGGGCCTTTACTGGTCAGCCCAAGGAACTGGGTCTTTATTCAGAGGCCATGGGGCACCTTAGAAGCTGCCGACGGTGTGGTCAGGTCTGAAGGCAGAGAACGGAAGTGGACCGTGGCTGTTTCCATGGTGTCCTGAGAGCTGGGAGCCGCCATGCAGGGACGTGCTCAGTGTCGAAGGTCACTGACGTTGGTAATATGACAGGTGGGGGAGAAGGAAGGGATGGCTAGTGAGCTAGAGGGTGGGACCACTGAGATGAGAAGACTGCAGGAGAAGCCAGGTGTGGTGAACACATTGGACACCTTAGGTTGGACACGCGGACCTCCAGGGATTCTAACCCCCGAGGAAGACAAGACTAGCTGGAGTCAAATCAGATGGTTCTAACGGAGCGTGCACTCGCCGGTTGTGTATGAGACTGCTGGGTTACCGCCCGTCCCAAGCTGGCTTTTGCCGCTGTCCTTTCCTACCTGGGAGGCACTGTACATACTTACAGTCCTCCTCCAGTCACTTAAACTGCCCCCAGTTGGGTTCTGATGAGTTGGGTGCCGTCTGGCCAGCTCCTAATACTGTCCATTCTTGTGCCCTTTTCACACTTGTTAGGATTCAGCTCATGGATGCAGCCTCTACATTAGTGTGTCTCATTGAGGGACTTCTTCACTAAGCATGATGTCCTTTCCCTTCTGATAACATGTCCAAAGTATGTGAAACAAGTCAGCATCCTGGCTTCTAAGGAGCCTTCTTCCAAGGCAGGTTTGTTGGGTCTTCTAGAAGTTAGATGCTGTTGAGTCAATTGTGACTTATAACGACCTCATGGAAGGTTGCCAAGGAGCAGGTGGTAGGTTTGACCCATCAGCTTTGTGGTTAGAAGTCCAGTACTTATGTTACAGTGCCACACCGGACTCCAATCCTTTCAGTATTCTTCATCAACACTAATTCAAATGCGTCAATTCTCCAGGCTTCATTGTTCTGCTTTCATGTGTATATGAGGCGATTGAAAATACCACTGTTTGGGTAAAGCACACCGTAGTCTCAAAGTGATAGCCTTACTTTTGAACACTTTGAAAGAGGTGTTTTGCAGCAGATTGGCCAATGCATTGTTAGATTTCTTGAATATTAATTGTGGCTACAAGTAAAATGAAATCCTTGATAACTTCAATCTTTTCTCCATAACCATTACCATGATGTTGTTTATTGGTCCATTGAGGATTTTTGTTTTCTAACACCAAGTTGTAATCCATACTGAGACTGTAGTCTTTGATCTTCATCAGCAAGTGCTTCAAGTCCTCTTCACTTTCAGCAAGCAAGGTTGTGTCTCCTGCATACTTCATTCCTGACACCACAATCTGCATATAGTCCAGTTTCTCACATGATTTGCTCCACATACAGACTGAATAAATGTGAGAGGACCCAACCCTGGTGCACACCTTTCCTGATTATAAACCACTCAGTATCCCCATGCTCTGTTCTAGCTACTACTGCCTTTTTGTCTACACAGTTTCTGCATGAGTACGATGAAGTCTTCTGGGATTATCATTGTTTGCAATGTGATCCACACAGTCCAATGCTTTTGCATAGTCAACAAAGCACAGGGAAACATCTTTCTGGTATTCTCTGCTTCCAGCCAATATTCGTCTGAGGTCAGCAATGATATCCCACATCCTCTTCTGAATGCAACTCGCATCTCTGGCAGCTTCTTGTTGATGTGCTGCTACGACCATTTAAAAATTATCTACAGGAAAATTTTACTTGTGTGTGACTCTTCCATAATTCCCTCCTCTCCTCTCTGGTTCCTCGCTGCTTCCGCTCTCAGCCTTCTCCCCACTTGCTGTCCCCTTACTGAGGGAAGAGCCCCACTCAGCTATCCTTACAGCATGCTCCCCCATCTCCTTCAGGCTACACTCAGCTCCTCTTTGGCTGCTGTGTCTGAAAGGGCCCCCTGCTCTCTTTATTTTCCTTCTCAGCACACACGACTGTGGGACACACTCAGGACTGTACTCATTCACCACCATCTCTGCTGTTTCCCATGGTGTGGGCTGGGGCTTCCTGGTCCCCCAGCGTACACAGACCCACTCAGTCCAGACTTGGAAATGAAGTCTTCCCCAAGGCCATACCTGTCTCACCTGTTGTCGGCTAGTGGGTCTCTACAGGCACATGGGGTACTCACAAACTGTCCAACAAATGAAGGGCCGATAAACAAAAGTCCTGGGAAGGGTGAAGGTTACAAAGCTCACATCACTAGCAGAGCCACACTGTACTATCTCCATAGACCTTTCCAAGTCTTCCAGCCTGCCCCTGCCCCTTTGCAGGCTGAGCTGGACAGGCCTAGGCCCCAAACAAAACACAGGTACCCAAGGGCTAAGAGAGAATACCACAGCCTTATTTTTATTAACATCTACCAAGAAAAAGTTAAGTTCCATCCCAGTTGCAATCCCACTTCCAATGCCTCGGTCCTTGGAAGCAGCATCTGACCTGGGGGGGCCCTGCTGCCAGACTGGGACCTCTGCATGGCCACCATGCACACGGCAAGTCGGCCCGGCCCCTTCATTCCACAGCTCGGGGGTGACAGGGCAGCCGGCCACACCTCCAACCCTCAGCGGGCAGCCTCAGGGATTTGGAAAAGATCTGCAATGTCCAGCAGGGCTTGACGGATGTGGTTCCCGAAGCGCTGGGCATTCTGTGGGGCAGAGAGGTCAGTGCCCTTGCTGGCTGGCCCTGCCCTAAACCCAGGGTCGGGGCACTGGCTTCCCCAGGCAGCACCCCCCAACAACCTGAACGCAGGGAGACACTCACTGTTTCTGAGCTTGAGAACTTGCTGGAGATATGGAAGAAGATGGTGTTCTCACCTGCGATCATGTAAGAAACCCCATAACCGTCGTCCGCTACCTGAGGGCAACATGCGGGATCAAACCTCCACCATCTGAGAGCCAAAAGCATGTGCTACTTGCTCAGCTCACAGGAATGGGAAAGCCCCATGAACATGGTGGAAACTCCAGATCTCTTCCTGGCTGCCTGTCTGCCTGAGTGCCCAGCACCCAGACCTCCCATGCTTTAGGGCCTTCCATCAAGGCCCTAGTGGGAGAGCTGACTCCCAGGTAACCCAGGCTCAGTGGGCAGGGGTCTCCACCCTATCTGCTGTCCCCTGCCCACCCTGTCCTGTCCAGCTCCTCAGGGGCACTTACCGGGCCAAAGCCACCTCCAGCACCCAAGTGATTGGGGTACTTGTTTGGGTCAAACATACGGATTTGGAATTGAGCTATCTGGCTGGTGGAGAGACGCCAGGGTTCTGAGAGCACCTGCGACAGAAAAGCGACAGCGTCAGAGGCTCCTACTGAGACACCTGTCACTGAGACACCTGTGTGACAGGTACCCCCGAGAAGGGAGGCCATAGTGTCAGACCTCACGAACTCAACACAGGGAACATGAGGACAGTGGCTTCCTGATACTGCCCTCCATCCCCCACTGGCCTCCTTGCCTCTATCCCCCTCACCCCCTTCCTACCCCTTCTCCTCTTCTTCACCCTCTCTAGCTCCCCCTGTTCCACACCCCCACCTCCTCTCCTGTGCTCTCCCCCTGCCCTGATCTGCCCTCCCCTGTGCCAACTCTGCTGCCCCTTCCCCCCCACTGTTCTCCATTCCAGGCTTCCGACTCTTCAGGCACCAGCTCGCCTGGCCTTGGGGTCTGGGCACTGGCTCTTGCCCACCCAGAACACTCCCTGTTTCCCTCACTTCCAACCACCTTGAGACGAGGCCGATCCCATTCTCTCTGACTTGGTCCAGGATGACAGGCCCCATAGGCTGTCTGTCTCCTTGACCAGTGTGTCCACTTGTTTTCTCTGGCTTCTCAAGGTGGCCCCTGGCCTGGGAGGGCAGGGGGACAGAGGACACTGACCTCAGCCAGGAAAGGGGACGTGACCCCCAGGTACTTGGAGACCAAGTAGAGGCAGAAGAGGTGCCTATCAATCCCCGCTCCCGTCATGGCCAGGCGGTACATGTTCTGGTGTTTCTCTGACGCTTTCCGGAAGAGGTCTTTCAGGTCTGCTTTCTGGGAGCAGAGATAGAGGGTGAGGGTGGTCCCCCAAAGGCCTGGCCCCCAAGGTGGGCGGGAGTGGGGTATCTGCTCATGTAGGTCTGATCTCTGAAGTGAGTGGCGGGTGGAGGTGTCTCACCACATGGCCCTGACCCAAGTGGTGGGTGGGTGGAGGTGGGGGGCAGTCTTCACTACATAGCTCCCATCCCGAGATAGGTGGGGCCCTCACAACATGGGAGCATGGAGGCCCTGAGCCGAGGGCATGGTTGGGGCCTTACCGTACGGTGACCTCCCATCATGGCTTGCACAAAGGCCGTGGACTCGTTGGTGCAGGACCGCACAGTCTCTGTCCGTCCCTCCCGGAACATTCTGGTCATTGAGGCCTCATAGGTCAGGCAAAACTTGCCCCTGTCCTGAGGAACATGGAGAGATGGTTCCAGTGGGTGACTGACCTGTTCCCTGACCATCTGTCCAGCTGCCTGCCCAGCCGGCTGGGCTGCACTCACCCGGAAGTGAGCCAGCTGCAGGGAGATCTGAACAAAAGCATCAGGGCTGGTGCGGCACTTCTTGATGAGGCCTTTGCCGAAGGGCAGGAACTGGAAGCAGTGTAGCTCCACGTCATCCGCCAGGGCCCTGGCCACCTGGTAGGAGCGCTCAATGGCCGCCTGGCACTGCCAACAAACCAAAGGTGTTACGGGGGAAGACAGGGGTTGGCATGCCTCTCAGTGCACCCGACATCACACACAGAGGAGCAGATGATGACGCAGATTTGGACTGTCTGGGCTGGCTTGTGGCTGTGGGCAGGGCCCTGGGGCTCTGCTCCATATGGCTGGTCTGGGATCCACCTGCTCAGGAGTCCTGCCCTCTTCCGAGTCCCAGCCAGTGGGAGGGAGGAGGCAGAGGTCGTCGGGTTCCCTGCCTACCTGCTCTGGAATGTCCCACTGCAGCCGCTGAGGGTGCATCAGCACAGGGTTTGGTTTGCCCAAACAGTGCCCGGTGTCCGTGTAGCCCAGGTGGAAAACGTCAGTACCCAAGACAAACTGAGGGGAAAGGAGTCCAGCTGAGGGTTCGGCCACGTCCACCCCAGCCTGCCCAGGACCCGCCCCCTGGCTACCTCCCAGAGGTGTCCTATGATGGGGGCATCTGCCCACGCGTGCTCTGTGTTGAGGCCTATATGGCCATTCTTGAAGGCGATGAGAGTGAAGGACTTGTCGAACCACCTGCAGTAAGAGACAGAGGCTTGAGAGGGGACCAGAAAAGGGAGTGGGGTGCTGAAGCTGGATGGGCTAGGGGGACAGAGCTGGGGGTACACAACAGGGGAGCTGACCCCAGGGTGAGGGGAGAATACAAGGATCGGGAGGGCATTCAGTAGGCCTATAGGAGTGGGAGCTGCACCTGCTATATCAGGGCCCCGGGGTGGGGGTGCACCTGTTGTATCAGGGCCCCGGGGCAGGGGTGCACCTGCTTTATCAGGGCCCTGGGATGGGGGCTGCACCTGCTATATCAGGGCCCCGGGGTGGGGGTGCACCTGGTGTATCAGGGCCCCGGGGCAGGGGTGCACCTGCTGTATCAGGGCCCTGGGGCGGGGGTGCACCTGCTATATCAGGGCCCTGGGGTGGGGGCTGCACCTGTTATATCAGGTCCCTGGGGTGGGGCTGCACCTGTTATATCAGGGCCCTGGGGTGGGGGGCACACCTGCTATATCAGGGCATGGGAGGGGCAGGGCCTGGGGGAGGCCCACCTGTTGTAACAGTTGCCATGCAGCAGAGCCTTGCCGTAGAGGCTGAGGCTGGCTTCATCCTCCGGGTCATAGCAGTGGGACTCTTCATCCAGGACCACAAAGAAGGCGGCCCGTTCAATAGTTTCCAAGGCAGCCTTGTTCTTGCCGCAACTGAAGAAGGCCTGGCGAGCCTCAGCCCACTCCACCCTGGGGGCAACAAAGGTGGTGCTGGGGAGGGGGTGCCCAGGGGAGGGTGCTTTCTGGGAGCTACCTGTGGGGGTGCAGAGGAACTGCTGGGGGAGCCCTGGCTGGAGTGACACCCAGGTCAGCTGCCCTGTCCTCATGTACCTTCCTCCGGCTGTGAGGGCAGCCAGCCTCTCTTCCCCAGGCTGTGGTGGGGAGCGGTCATCCAGGATTCGCTGGAACTGCATCTCCAGGTCGCAGGGTTTGAGCAGCTGCGAGCCTTCATAAAGCCAGACCTTGAAGAAGCGGCCCTTGTGGTAGACAGCCACGTGTCTGCTGTCCCCCAGATGCTGCAACACATCTAGGACACAGGTTGTGGAAACTGAGGCAGGGCGGGGAGGGCCCTGGAGAGACGACCCCCTCCAGCCTGGCCTCTGTGTGCCCCTCTTCTCCTGCTGGCCCACAGACCATGACAGGTATTGGAGGAGGCTTCACGTCCCTCATTCTGTTTCAGAGAGGAGGATACCGAAGCTCTGAGAAATTACGCCAATTGCCTGAGGGTGCCCAGTGCTAGAATCAGCAAGTGGAGCTCTCCTGCCAGACCCGGGGCCGGAGCCCACCCCATTCCACTCAACGCCCTCCATGTCCTGTGAGCACCTAGCATCATGCCTGTCAGTAAGGGTACGCAGTAAGGGTGGCACCTGTCTCCTTGCCCGGGAGGCGGGTGGTGTTGAACATCCTCTCCATCTGGTAGGAGCACATGGGCACAATGCCCAGAGCCATCACCTAGGAGGAAGGCCCACAGCTCGGACGTGGCCGCCCCTCCTCCCCCACTCCATTATCTAGGAGGAAGGCCCACGACTGGGATGTGGCCGCCCCTCCACCAGCCCCACCCTAACTCACGGGCTTGATCTCTTCCCGGTCCAGCTTACGACGATACAATATCATGGCGTGAATGATGTTCCCCAGGCGGGCAGCCTGAATCTCCGTGGGCTTGACAAGTACAAAGTCCTGGGGAGAGAAAGGAACCTGCAGGGGTGGCAGGGTGCCCAGAGGGCATCTCCATCCTGCATGCCGCACTGCCCACACTGCTCCCAGATCCCACTTCCTCTGCTTCGATTCTATTCTACTTGAGGAAGGGCTTTCTCCACTAAGAAAACGGTGTAAAGCTGTGGCACAAAATAACTGTACATGAGTTTCAGGAAAGGAGAGGGATGGCTTTGTGTAGGAGAGAACACAGGACAGACAGGCCCAGGGGGCCCAGGGAGAAGGGACCCACAGCGGCAGCCTGAATTCTCAGAGCACAGCCTGGATTCCAGTCTGGTTTGGGGTCTGAGGAGTCAGGGGTTCCTCTGGCTTGAGGGTCACTGTGGCTTGAGGGTCACTGACTGTCAGGCCTCACTCCAAGGGGGCCAGAGCTATTGGGCTCCAGTTCTTACCATGACATAATAGTTGCTGTTCACCATGAGGGGGCTCCTGCCTCTCAGGTAGATGTACTCTTCCCACCAGTCACTCACCTGTAAGTGATTGTGTGTAGGAGGTTAGATGGGCCAGGCAGCTGACCTACAGGTGGGTGAGGAGGAAGCGTCAGGACAGGGGGACTTACGTAGTTGGTTGCCCACCAGGACTTGAGAACCAGATACTTCTGCAGTCTCGGGGCAGTCTTGTCCTGGAATTCTTTGGCCAGTACCTCCATGCGACAATATTCCTCGTCCCCCAACAAGGGCCGCACAGACTCCAGGTACTGTCCACCAAGGCATCATGTCCACCAAGGCATCATGGTGGGGGCCTGACAGCAGCAGCTGTGCCACCCCTCTTGGCCCTCCCTCCCCCCGTCCTTCTCCTCTTTTCAGAAACAATCCCTTGGCTTTGGGCACGTTCCCTGTGTCCATACCCCTGCTCTCACCCTGTGGATTGTGGCCGCCACACTGGGCACAGGAAGCTTGGGCAGCGATGTCTGGAAGCTGTAGAGCATGGGCCGCCGGCTGGACAGAAGGCGGACACAGATCTGGGGTACAGGAGGCAATGTGTGGGGTGGGATCCAGGAGAAAGTGAGGAGCTGGGGCCTAGGTATCCATCTCACTATGCCCCCCAGGATGCACCCACACCCCGCCTGCCTCCTCCTCCAGCTTCCTTCCTACTCACAGCCCAGATCCTGGTGACGCGGCTGGTGTGGCCGTGTAGCTCAAACATCCAGCCATGGTAGGAAAGGAGCAGCTTCAGGCTTTGGCGGAAGAAGAAGATGCCAGTGGCCCAGACTCCCGTGGAGAAGATGACCATGCTGAGGAGTGCCTTGGTCTGCGGAGTTTGGTAGGGGCTGCATCTGTGTGGGTGGGGAGCAGGGGGTCCACTAGGGGCCATTCTGACTGAACCTCTGATGTCTTCTATATTGAAAGCTACTTTGTGGCTGTGGCCCGTTTCAGGGGAGGCACCCAGAGACCATAACTTGCCTGGTACCTCTCCTCTGAGTGCATCAGATACAACAAACCATCTGCGGCAGAGCTCAGATGATGGTGGCCCGACTGCTCCAAGTCCCCCTCTCAGGATACCTGTGCCCACCTCTGAGCTGTGTTACTTACCCATCAGGGATGAATTTTTGGATATGACAGATCAGCCCCATGGAGATGTCCACGTTGCAATAGGAGGACCCCACAGTCGCCATGACGACCATTAGCCAGCTGGTGGGGCTGCCAGGGTACACACCCCTGAGGATGCCATTCTAGGGACAGAAATGGGGGTCTTGCAGAATAGGGAGTATGGCCACTTCAGGAGGTGAGGGGACTGGGTCTTCTGCAACCTCCCCCCCCCCACACACACAACTGCCATGTTCTTCTCATTATTCCTCACCCTCAGCACTGACCATGCTGTTCCCCAGCATGACCACTTGCTACGTGTCCCCTCACCCACCCTAGTGTCCTCCTGTGGGTTCTGCATGGTCAGGCCTGTCATCCTGCAGAATGGGTGGGGGGCTGGGGGAAAGGCAGGGCTGGAGAACCCTGGGCCCACCTTGATCCGAATCAGGCGTTTCTTCCACGAGTTGATACCAGACAGGTAAATGTGTTTCAGGGCCTCCCGACTGAGCCGGAAGTCGACCCCATCCGGGGTCACAGTGAACTGGAAGGCCACGGCCTGGTGCGCTTCCGCCATCCTGGGGGTTGGCTAGCACCTGGGCGTGGGGCAGGGGGTGCGCGGGCGGGCTCAGCCAGCTCCACCCCCACCCGGCCGAGCGAGCCCCGCCCTGGGTCTGCCCCAGCCCTCCGCGAGCCCCTAGCCTGCACCCCTGGCCGGTCTGCCCCAGCCTCCCCTAACCCGGCCCAACGGCCGCCCGCCGAACCCTGGCCCCGCGTTCCGGCGAGCTCCGCCACAAGGTGCGAAGGGCTGGGAAGCTTCGGGCGTGGAGGCTCAAGAAACCCCTTGGACAACGAAGGGGGTCTCGAAGTGGGAGCATCAGCGGGGAGCATGGTCCAGGCTGACTGGGTACGAGGCAGGGTCTGCCGGGTCGGGCGCCCCCCCTCCCCTGCCCCCGCCCCCTACCTGACCGCTCTGAACCCCCTGGCAGCCGCCTCTCCTTGCCCTTGCGCAGGCCCAGCACTGCCCCGACTACTCACACACGGGCTTGTTCTGGTCTGAGGGGCCAGCTGCTCTGGCCCGTGTCCCCACGTCCTTCAGGCTTGGCCGCCCCGCCCTCACCGGGAACCTGACACCCACTCCCAAATCGGGGTCGGAAAACAGATGCTGGACAGGCACTTTAACCCCCTAACCGCGGGGAGAGACTCGGGAGAGTGGGCCGGACTTACACAAGTTGAAGGTTAGTCGAAGGTCTGGGGGGGGGGGAACGAGGGACCCAAAAGGTCTCACGTGAGGTGGTGCATTTGATCTAAAAATAGCCCCATGTAGGGGAAAGGTCACCTGTGTCAGCTGGGCCGCTTGCATAGCCTCCCCCACCTCCCCCAAAGTCCCCTAGCTGTCACTCCTGACCTGGAACCGTGGCGCACGTGGCTGCAATTGGCTGAGTGACCATTGTAAGTCTAGGACACTGTCCGGGCCCTGCTCTACAGGGGAAACAGGCTCAGCGCAGGGTTTGGGTCTATCTGGACCCATCCTAGCTGGGTGCTTCTGCTGCTTCTGAACAGGGTCAGGTCAGGGCCCCAGGGAAAACCCAAGAAATCGTTTATTGCCTACAGTAGTTTATTGTCTGAGGGTACACAGCCCAGGGTTACCCTATCCCTGGGACACAGACACATCTGCCTCCAGCACAGTTTCCTTCTCAGGCTGTCTTGTCTCAGGTGGGGTCTCAGCCCCAATGCCAGGGCCTCTCTCCAAGGTCCTGCCCTGGAGGCTCCAGACACACCCTCAGCCGGGTTTGGGCGGATGATCAGGACTCGTCGATATGGAGGGTGGTCAGCTGCTGCTTCTGCTGGAAGTAGAACTGGAACCGAGACTGGGCATACTCCTAGGAGGGAAACCACCGGACCCCTCAGTGGTGAGAAGGCTTGGCCCAGCCCCCACCTCTGGAGCCTCAAGGAGATGCAGCCCTGCCGCCCCCCTCAAACCCACCTGCCCTCTGCCACTGAGTCGATTTTGATTCATAGCAACTCTATTGGGCAGAGAAATGTATGACAGGGTTTCTGAGATGAAATCTTTACAGAGGCAAACAGCCTCATTTTTCTCCCTCAGAGTGGGCGGCTGGTGGGTTTGAACCACTGGCCTTTCTGTTACAAGCCCAATGCTTAACCCACAGTGACATCAGCATTCCTGCTATGCCTCCAGCTGCTCTTAATCTCTGGTTTACTTACCAAGTAGCCAAATTCTATGGTGGACATGGATGCCTGGAGGATGGACCAGAGTCCCCAGAAGAAATGAGAAGCCAGGGCATAGCTGGGGGGGTGAGGAGAACAGTAAGTGGCACAGCTGGAGCCCCTCTCCCCTAGGTTCCTGTCTCCACTGGCCAGACCTCCACCCTGAGATGCACATGACCTGCAGCAGGTGAGTCTGCCCTCCTCCCTCACCGATTGACCTCCACCAGCAGGTCTTCTTCCAGCTTCCTCTGCTCCTCTTGGGAGGGGGGTTCCCCTTTCTTTACTGCTGCCAGGTAATGGCGAATAAAATGAAGCTGCAATAACAGTATCAGCATTTCCAATCAACACCCTTTGGTGCCATTTCCTCCAGCGTTAATTCACTTCCTCCCTCCCTCCTTTCTACCTTCCACCCCCAGCCCACCCACCTGCTGTGCCCGGGTGGGGTAGTCCGCTGGCCTGGCCTTGTAGAAGGGCCACTCCTCGTGAGTATAATCATAAACCCACTCACAGAAATGGTTCCCAATGTCAAAGCCCCTGGGGAGGGAGGGGGACACTCAGTCTGCAGCTGGGATGCAGGGGCGGGGACCACCATGGGAGGAGACCCCTCACCTGTAGTTGTAGCTGCTATACTCGAAGTCCACAAGCATGAGACTGTCAGCATTTTTAGGCTCTGAGAGCAGTAAGATATTCCCTGGGAGGGGGGAAGGATGGCAGGAGTGGGGAGCCCGGTCACTCCAGGGCCCTGAGAACCCCACCGTAGGGTCAGGCAGATTCAGATACTTTTTTTCCTACCTTCCTGGATGTCATTGTGGCAGAAGATCACTGGTGATGGGGTGGCGTCCAACAACTTCCTACAGGGGAATGGGGCTAAGGGTCCTGACCAGCAGAGGCCCAGAACACAGCCCTCTATAAATCCCATGGGAGCTGGTGAGGCGGTGGGCGTCTGCCTCTGCTCTTCAGCCTCACCTGAGGTTGTCCATCTCATCCTTCAGGCTGTACTTCTCCAGCAGGTTCATCTGGGGAAGGCCTGTTGGGGGCAGGTCCTGGATCTGCTTTAGGTACCTGAGGGTCAAACAATGGGAGGTACTCATTCTGTCTTAGGCCACACTGGCCACTGGCTTTTTGTCTGACCAGCATGTGGACGGGGCTCCACCAGTCACAGTCAGCGCCAGGGCCCCAGTGAAGCACAACTCACCGCTCCATGGTCCCAAACAGCCAGTGGGGCTCTTTGGTGAAAGGCATCTCCATGCCGTGGAATTGGGCCATCTTCGTGGCAATAGCTGCAGACAGCACGGGCTCTCGAAGCTCTTGAGTTTTCAGGGGCCGGCTCTGTATCCAGGAGCCTATCAGGATGGTGAGGGGGCTAGGGCGGGAGGGGGCTCTGGGGGGGCTCAGGGCCTTGGGGAGAGTTCCCTGCCTGGGACGAAGGAAGGAGGGGAAAGCTGACTTGGGAGCAGGGGGCAGGAGGTGCCTCAGAGGGGTCAGGGCTGGGCTCCTACTGGGATGTACTGCTCCAGGCGGCCCTCTGGGAAGACGCCATAGAGCTGGGGTCCCAGCGACCGCTCAGCGAGGATGGCGAACATCACGCTCTCTAGCACCAAGGAGTCCACACCCTGAAGGAAGAGAGCAAAGGGCCAAGTCAAGAGGGCGCCAGGGCAGAGTGCGACAGGTAAAGGGCCTTGGGGTCCCGCATACCAGGCTCTGCGCTGGCCATAAAGGGCAAGTTCCTTAGTGTCTGAGTTCCTTTCCCCCTATGCCACCCCTAGGTGAGGGGCCGCCCTCCTCACCTGCAGGATGGCCCCGTACAAGCGAAGCAGCACCTCCCTGGGCTCCTCGCCGAGGCTGGGCAGGTGGTCGGGGAGCGAGCAGCGGAAGAGCAGATTGCTGAGGCCTCCGCTGCAGACCCAAGGCTGTGCTCAGCATGCAGGGTGGCCGAGCCGGCCTCCCGTGCCCCTCATCGCCTCGTCCCCTTCCGCCCCAGGTCCTGACAGCTGGGGTTGCAGACACTGGGCGTTCCGGGGGCGAGCCTAACCCCTGACCCCAGCCCGCGCGCAAGGGGCTGACCCCTGACCTCCCACCTCACGGGGTTAACTCTCAGCTCCTCTGGCCGCACCCGGCGCCAGGCCCCGCCCAAGTACTCCCGGCACCACTGGTAGGCTCGGCGCTCGGCGTCCTGCGACAGCGAAGACATGCGCCGCCGGATCGGGGCCGCGTCTGGACACTTGGTCGGTTTTAAGTTGTCGCTGGCCGGGAGGCCCCCGACAGCCCCGCCTCTGACCAACGCTGACCCCTCCGCCGCCATGGCTCCGGCTCGGCCCCGCCCCAACGCCCAGCTGCGCTCAGCCCTCTTCGAGCTGGCTTGGCTCCTTCCGGCCACGCTCAGCTCTGTTTCCGGCCTGTCTCGGTTTATCAGCCCACATTCGGGTCTCTGGCAATATTCGACTCTTTCCGGTACCGCTCGGCTCTTTTCGTAACTCTGGTCTGGGTGCGCTCTCCAAGGGCCAGAGTTTCACCTTTGTCCCGCCCCTGTTCAGCTCGTAGGTCAGTTGCTTCACGCTCTGGATTGGGCGCGCCCAGACCCGCCTACAGGGTGTGGCTACACTAAAAAAAAGGCTTCTGTTTGGACGGTGACCCGGAAATGAGGAAACAGCGTGGGCCAATCAGGAGTATCCTGAACAAGTGGACGGAGAGGCCTGTGGCGTCTCCTGTGGCCTAGTCGTGTGGGCCTAATGTGGCATCCTTGGCTGCGGCTGGTGCCGGCCCTTGCGCAGGAGTGGAGCTGGCGGACGGGACCCTCCGGGAGGGGAGGGATCAAGGGCCCTCTGCATTCTGACATAGTTGCTTGCTTCCTTCCTTTATGCCAGGAGTTTGACCGCATGGACAGTCAGGCTGGGCAGCAGCCATTGTGAGTGTGTGCCACGTGGTGGAGGACAGTGACTTTGTCGTATGCTGGGAGACAATGGGAGTGCGAAGGAGGTGCTCAGTACATAGTTTTGTTAGGAATTAATCCTGATGTCGCATAAAAGACACTCGGTGAGACTAAATTACCTTGGCAAAACAAAATTTACTCAAGAGGGTGCGTATGCATAGCCCTACATACAGAACAGGCCTGCGATCCACTCGGGTTTTTAATCCCTGAGGTGTGTCTCAAGGCTGTGTCTGACCCAGTTGGCTAGGGTTTTGACCGCACAATCTTTTCCCTTATCCCCGCTGGCTAGTTCAAATTTTTAAGGCACGCGTGCCTACTTTAGGAAAAGAAAAAGAGCCATCATAAGTTCTTTATTGTTGTCAAGTGCCATTGGGTCGGAACCGACTCATAGTGTTAGAAATGAATCTTGACTTCGCGTGAAAGACACTCGGTGAGACTAAATTACCTTGGCAAAGTAAAATTTACTCTTGCAAGCGGGTGCATGCGCATAGCGGTACATACACGAACAGGCCAGCGAGCACACCGAGTGGACAGTCCACTCGGG